AAAGGGCTTGGCTCTGGCCAGAGAGATAAAATAGCATCTTGGGACAGGTTACAGATGGGAACAACGTGTTGAAAATAGATAGGCGTCCCAGAAAGAAATACATGGGGGTGTGAAGGGTAGAGGAAGAAACAATTGCTGTAAGGATGAGTAAATTGCCAAGCAGGGTGAAGAGGTAAGCAAATGAGAAGATGACAAATAGCACAGTCTCCAGTCCCTCTGTCTGAGGTATTCCCAGTAGAATAAACTCCTGGAACTCTGTGTGATTCCTCATGTTCCCGGAGCAGAGGTCTGGATAGAGATAGACGGTGAAAGCATGAATGTGGAGAATGACTCGAGGCAGACACGATACCAGGACATTCATCACCATCAATCTTTGTTTATTTAAAAATTTTTTTAAAGAATTTCATTTTTAAGTAATCTCTACACCTAATATGGGGCTCAAACTTACAACCCCGAGATCAAGACTCACATGCTTTACTGACTGAGCCAGCCAGGTGCCCCGAGCTTTGTTTAAACATAAATATGATGCTGAAATTAAGAATTAGGCTTCTGCCAAAGACATTGAGAGGACAGTGAAGCAAATAGAGTGTACGCTTTTATGTCACGGGATGTCATCTTCCTTAATGAACATGGATACAATGTGATACGAAACATTACTATGGTGAAATACTGGATGGGCTAAGAGAAGAAAGAGCTCAATATTGAACAGATGAACATAATTTAACTAACATCCACAGTCAATTGTACAATAATACATGCCCTAAAATAGACTAACCTGGAAGCCACTTCCTCCTGATTTCTTTTCAGAACATGTCTACAGTTAATCAAAGACACGGTCAAATACCCTAAATATTCATCAAAGGTTAATGTGGGCACCCACACCTTTGACGACAATAATAGATTGCAATTCAGTGCGATGTGCATTAGAATTTGAATTGCATTAGTATTATTCTAATTGAATACATTCCATAGTTTGAAAATTTTCTTATTTAGCAATGTTCATTTGACTGAAAAGAAACTATCAGTGATAAATCTGGATGTGATCCTGGGGTTTTAAATTGTCTAAAGATTAGTAGCTAAGTTGTATTATGTAGAAGGTAGGTTTTAGTAAAGTTATATCGCCCATGAAGATGTAGATACGGATATTTAATCTTTGCCAACACCTGGAATTTTTGACCCCTTAGTGCACCAAAAGGATTTCAATCCTGCAACTGTTTTGTGTTCTCTGCTTTTTAAAATTTTTAATTTTTATTTTTTTCTGGTAAGAAAACTTACCAAGGGATCTACTTTCTTAACGGATGTTTGAGTGTACCATACAGTATGATTAACTGTAAGCACAATGTTGTACAGCAGATATCTAGAGTTTATTCGTTTTGCCTTACTGAAACTCTATACCCTTTCTTCTGTCCCCGTCTTCTCTCTCATCCTTACCTCTGGCAACCACCATTCTGCACTCCGCTTCTATGTGTTTAACTATTTGTTTTATTTTATTTTATTTATTTTATTTTTGGGACAGAGAGAGACAGAGCATGAACGGGCGAGGGGCAGAGAGAGAGGGAGACACAGAATCGGAAACAGGCTCCAGGCTCTGAGCCATCAGCCCAGAGCCCGACGCGGGGCTCGAACTCACGGAGCGCGAGATCGTGACCTGGCTGAAGTCGGACGCTTAACCGACTGCGCCACCCAGGCGCCCCTATTTGTTTTATTTTAAAGGAAAAAGTCACAAAACAGAATATGTTGAGAATAGGAATTGCCACCAGGGTGTGCTGTGGTCAGCTGTCTGTTACAAGGCTAGGATTCAAAGGTGCTTGTGAATTGTCCATAAAGGCATGCATGATACTCTCGCTTTCAGTTTTGGCTTTCGTGATTCAATGGAGATCCGAAGTATATGAAAATCGTCTAATTATAATTTCCTGACTTCCAATTATAATTCCTGATTGATTTCTTCAATCCTCTTCTATAATTAATAGTTACTAGTTGATAATTTTATCTTCTAAAAAAATTGGAAGTGGTAAGATAGGTTAATAGTATTCATATATACAAAAGAAATTCCAAAGGAACTGAATTTAGGTTCTATTAGACTGTAAATCCCCTGAGAGTAAGCATCATAATTTGTCATTAAATCCACAATACTTATCACAGTGCAAGTAAAGAGTTGGCATTTAAGTATTTGTTAGATAAGTAACTGAATGAAAAGTTGGAAATTATTTTATAGACATACTTCGAGTATAAGTTCCATGAAGAGATTGTGTCTATTCTTGTTCAGCACTATATCTCTAGAACTTAGAAAATAGTAGCATCCAGGAAGTGTGTTTATTTGAATAGGATTTTAGAATGCTCTGAAATGATTCCTTTTGTTTTTAGACTACTTTAGGCCTTTTTTTATTAATCCTGGAAAGCAATGGCTATAGTGAGCCTCCTGTTAGCTTGAGAGTCCATGCCTAACAAAAGGAATTTAGGTGTACATCAAAATGTAGGGTATCTAATTCCTGAACTAGAAGAGATAAGATGAGCCTTGAATATATTCATAATTGCTGGTGACTCATTATTGTCTCTTGTTGGGGGGGGGGGGGAAGCATGTACTTGACAGGTAGAAGGGAGAGCTAAGGAAGAATGGACCTTCCTGAAGAGAAGGAAAAGGAATAAGTCATGATTGGTGGTGCATTTCTATCAGTGAATAGGAAGAGGGGAAAGTGAGGAGGTGGTCATACTCTTTTCTTTGATTTTTTTTAATGTTTATTGTTTATTTTTGAGAGAAAGAGACAGAGAATGAGTGGAGTAGGGGCAGAGAGAGGGGGGGACACAGAATCCAAATCAGGCTCCAGGCTCTGAGCTGTCAGCACAGAGCCTGAGATGGGGCTCAAATCCACCAACGTGAGCCAAAGTCAGACACTTGACCAGCTGAGCCACCCAGGCGCCCCAAACTCTTTGCTTTGAAAGGGAATGGTGTGATGTTGCACACATCATTTTTTGTTTCCCATTGGCCAGAACTCGGTCATAATGTCATACCTAGCTTTAAGGGAGGCTAGGAAATGTCTTTATTCTGAAAGACCATAGACTTGGTTAAACTTGGGCTAAACTTGAGAATTGATATTAGAGATTACTGAGCAACCTAAAGTCACAAGGACAGAATTTTGGGTGGAGACACCTAATCTAAGGTGGCTTGTATTTATTCTCTATTACACTACAAATGTGTTTTCGTTAAGCACTCACACTACCAGATATTTTCTTCTTTATTTACTTGCTTATTTGTTTATTGACTATTTCCTCCCCCTGCAATGTAAGCTCCAGATAGGGAATGGTCTTTGTGTCTTGTTATTGCCACAATGCCAATGTCTAGAACAATGCCTTGCATACAGTAGAAGCCCAGTAATTATATGTTGACTAAAAGAGTGAATTACAAGGGGCGCCTGGGTGGCTCAGTCAGTTAAGCATCCGACTTCGGCTCGGGTCATGATCTCACGGTTCTGTGCTGACAGCTCAGAGCCTGGAGACTGCTTTGGATTCTATGTCCCTCCTTCTCTCTGTACCTCCCTCACTCACGCTCTGTCTCTCTCTCTCTCTCAAAAATAAATAAACATTAAAAATATTTTTTTTAAAAAGAATGAATTGCATGTTCTCTTTCAAAATTTGATCATTGGATTTATTAAATTGCCTATATGCAAAGAGTGAATTATTCATCGGGCTTACACGAAGTATGAATAAACAGATCAATAAAATACATTCATACTTTTAACAGCTATTAAGGTCTACTTAATTATGTACGTTGTGCCAGATTCAGAGGCTTTTCATATAAGTGTCCTTCCAAGATTCAGTTCCTTCCAACCCAGCTGCCATATACCGTCTGTAGCAAACTATTTTTTTTTTTAACCTCTCTAGTCCAACCGGGTAAGAAGATGAACTCTGCCCATTCTTCCAGCCTCTTCCTTTTGTTGACCAGACACTTCGGCCAACAGAAGTTATAGTCAGGAGAAACAATATCAGATGTGATTTCTACCAAGGGAAAAGGATCATTCCCTCTCACAATTAGTTTGATACATGTAAAGAACATAGTCCTAGAGCCTAAAACTGATAAAACAGAATCTGTGCTTATATTGTGCTTTACCATACATGTGTATATACACACATCACATCACGTCAAGATCCACCGAATCTTTAAAAACAACCCAGGGAGGGAAGTGTGCCATTATTTCCATTTTACAGATAAGACAACAAACTCAGAGAAAGTAAATATGAATACACTGCAGAGACCAAAATGAACCTGAGTTTTCATATGTATTATGTTTCTTTACCCTCTACATATTCTCAATAGCAATACAATTCTTTTTTTAAGCCTCAGACTTAACAGATCATTTTGAAATAAAGAAGACATAGGAAACTTCATCGCTTCTAGTGTTCCTTAGCCAGCAAAATGAGCATAGATATTCTAACTTACTTATGTTGTTAGCCCCAGCACCAAAAAAACCCACAAAAAAGCAAAAAAAGACCCCAAAAACCCAAACAAACAAAAAACAAAACAAAACCCACAATAACCCAAAAAACAAAAACCAAACACCTTAATTTTATGATCCTGATGAAAAATCCATAAGTGATCCATGACTGGAAGACTTGGTCCCTGTGAGCATTGTCCGGTCTCCGGGCCCTCCCCCCCTGTGCTGTTAGGAAGGATGCAGTCTTGGGACAAATAACTCAAACTAGAGATTAGAAGTCAATGATAATGCCCATAAAGTTCAGGGCCTACCATACAGTATTATTAGTAGGGCCTAGTGCACAGTAAGTCCTAGGTAATTCAATCTGTTACAGGAATATGATGTGATTTGATGTGATTGTTGATGTTACTGTGAAAGCACTTCGCTGGTAAAACAGTCTCTTCCCTTTGCCTGTCTTCTGATTGGTCCTTAGCAGAGACTAGGCGTTGGAAAAACAGCAAACGTTCGAGGGTTGAAGAATTTTCCATTGATCCCTTAATCAAGTAGTCGCCACTTTGTAACCGGTCCCTAGAAGGGGCGGGTCTTCCTGGAAATTTTGACTGCAGCTGTTTTCCCCCCGGCTGTGAGTCAGAGCGCCCAGACTGCGGGAGAAGGTAGGGGATCCCGCAGCCCGCGCTGGAGCTGGATCACACCCCTTAACCCTGACGGCCAAGACGCGTCCTTTCCAGCTCCCTTTCCCCATCTCCAAACCCGCTGGGGCTTGTTTTAACTGCAAACCCAAGGGGTGGGGGAATTTAATCCTGGTGTTCGCTCCCCGGGGGTTTTCTGCAGGTTTGGCAGTTTAGGGGGATCTTGGGGGGGGTGGGGGGGGGGGTGAGGGCTGGAAAGGGGATTTAGGCATCTGCTGATTTTCTCAAGGTCCCTCTTCTTTTTACTTTCCTTCTCTTTAACTTTACTTATTTCTCTCTCTCTCTCTCTCTCTCTCTCTCTCTCTCTCTCTCTCTTTCTTGTAGAAGATTGATGTTTTCTCAATTTTATCGAATTTTCTGCTGTGGAAATGGAGTTTCAAACCTCCCCCCACCCCCGACCCCAGTAGGACTGCAGCCTCTAAACCCTTGCCTATAGAAATTTAAGGAAGCGACTCTGGTCCCTTCTGTTAATACTTGGAGGCTGCAAACCTAGGACTGAAATTTTAAAGATTAAATCACTTTCTGTTTCTATCTGAGCTCCACTCCCCTCTTGTCCCCTGCAACAGGCTGCAGGGGTGTGGCCCGCTGCGCCACGAGCGCGCTGGCTCCGCCCTCTCCTAGGTGGGTAGCTGAACCGCTAGGTGCCTGGACTCTTGGATTCCTGAGGGTCCACCTTAACACGCAGCCCTCCGGCTCAGTGGGCCCCCCCTCTATTCTCCCAGCCGCCTCAGAGTCAACGCTTTGACCTTGGTCAGCTGCTGCGGTCAGTGTTGCCAGGTGCATTTCTGAAATGGCATCCTGGGGGGCAGAGAACTAGTTCTGAACCACCATAGTTTGTACGGAGAAGGGTGGGGGAGAAGGTGCAGAAAAGCAAATTCCCCTCAATGAAGGATTTGTTCTGGGGTTAGAATTGGGAAATAAGACTGTTTCTTTGTAGGAGATACCCCTCTGCTTCTGTCTTCTCACCTGGAAGCCATCCTTGGTGAGTATTGCCAAGCCTCAGAGATTGGGTTACTTGACACATTTCTTCAGTTGTCGACGGTCCTGGGTCTTCCTCCTGTTGTAAGCTTCCTACTGATATTTTTAGAAATTTTTCCCTCCCCTAACCCCAGCCCGACCTACCAGATCTTACCTCAGTCAAGCATCTGCATGGAAGTCCTTTTCCTGACCATTCTTTCCTCTCCCCACAGCTGCTACTGCCCTCTGTGTTTCTATCAAATGGGAGCCATTTTGCCACACTCAGTTTTTTTAAATTGTTTAATGTTTATTTATTTTTGAGAGAGAGACAGAGAAAGAGAGAGAGAGAGAGGGAGATCATGAGTGGGGGAGGGGCAGAAGGAAAGGGAGACAGATTCCTAAGCAGGCTCCAGGCTCTGAGCTGTCAGCACAGAGCCTGACCTGGGGCTTGAACCCACGAATGGTGAGATCATGACTTGAGCTGAAGTCAGATACTTAACCGACTGAGCCCCCCAGGCACCCCGCCACACTCAGTTTTTATCCAGTTCTTCAAAATACCAAACACAGAATGAAGAGTCTGATTTATTGGCGCTGATCTGTGGACATGGGTGGGGCATGGTGTACAAGATGCACCATTGCCATCAGATGGATGAGCGACGTGGACATTGCTCTGGATGGGAGTAGGGTGAGGTTTTAAATGGTGATTGGGATGAGCATAGAGGGCCTAGAAGTAGTCCTCCAGAAGCTTCAGAATCCTTGAGGGGGATGTTGTTCTAGGAAGGAAAGTTGCCTTTCTCATGAGCCTGCATGTTTTTCTGGCCTGTGGGTTCCTCAGTGAAGGTTGGGCTTCCCAGAGCCTCGTCTGCTTCTGGGACTCTGGATAAGTACATAAGTTTCTGTTTTTTTCGGCATTCTCTGTACACCAGACACTTCCATTTTAGCTCCTTAAGTTGTATTTTCAGTGAAAGGCCCCCTAACTGGTGCTGGAGATTGTAGCTCATGTCACCCTTTGACAGAGCAGGGAGAGGCAAGGTGACCAGTGATTCTGTTTAGAATGGTGAGAGGGCAGCTTCCAGGGGTACTAGGGCCAATGACTAGGACCAGACCCACCCACTGATTCTCTGGATAAAAGAATCATAGTGTAAATCATAATCTAGATATGTAAATTTATCTTCTTGTTACCATATCACATGAAATAGGTGTCTAAGATTATAATAAAATTTGGAATAGGTGGCTAGGATGGCATGATTTATTTTTAAAAAAAATTTTTTTTTCAACGTTTATTTATTTTTGGGACAGAGAGAGACAGAGCATGAACGGGGGAGGGGCAGAGAGAGAGGGAGACACAGAATCGGAAACAGGCTCCAGGCTCTGAGCCATCAGCCCAGAGCCCGACGCGGGGCTCGAACTCACGGACCGTGAGATCTTGACCTGGCTGAAGTCAGACGCTTAACCGACTGCGCCACCCAGGCGCCCCTAGGATGGCATGATTTAAAATAGAGGTCATGTTGGAGCACCTGGGTGGTTCAGTCGGTTGAGCATCCGACTTTGGCTCAGGTCATGATCTCACAGCTTGTGAGTTCGAGCCCTGCGTCAGGCTCTGTGCTGACAGCTGGGAGCCTGGAGCCTGCTTCGGATTCTGTATCTCCCTCTGTCTCTGCCCCTAATTCACTTGCATTCTGTCTCTGTCTCTTTCAAAATTAAATAAACGTTTAAAAAAAATAAAAAATAAAATAAAATGGAGGTCATGTTGCATATGTGATATTTATATATATATCTTAGAATACTTTGGATGGAGGAAACAGTGGTTTCAGTTGTGTGTCCCAAAAGAAAAGTCACAAGGTAAGTGATCTTAGTTGCAGGGGACCATTATGGATCAAGACGCTTCTTCAGTGCAGGTCTCTGTTTAGCATGATCCAAAGTAACAGGCAAGGTCTATTTAACAACTGTAACAATTACAGCAGGAGCAATACAAGTCTATTATCATTGATCAAACACTTTCTGTAGGACAGGCACTATTCTAAGGACTTCATATATATAAATCCATATATGCATGTATGACAAATAGTATATGGTTTTCATTGTGGAAAGAGAATACTGAGGTTCAAAGGGGTTAAGATAATTTTAGTTCTTCTACATACAGTATCTAAGGAATGGTATATTTGAAAAAGAGGAACTGGTATTTGAACCAGCTTCAGGGTGTTTCAGAGACTTCCTGTTGATTGGGTACTTAGTGAATCTTCCAGTTTACCACTTGGGTCTGGCATTTAGAAGGAGTATTACTATTGGCATCTGCGTCCCCTTCTTCACAGCTTCTTTCTCCTTCCCATTAATCCTCTGAATGTATTCTCGTGCCAGACAGGAGCACATGAGGTCTGGTCTTTGAATAGATAATCCCCAACATATCACTGTATTTATGATGTGTCTTTTCCACAGTAACCCTGCATCACCATGGTGCGCCCTTCTGGCCTTCTAACCCGCCAGGAGGAACCAGGTAGGCATGATTCATGACCCTAACTTGCCATTGTATCTTTGGCATCTAGCCCAAGGCCTGGCATGCAGGAGGCCTTCTGGTAAAGTCTGTTCACCACTTGAACTCTGGTCTATCTCTAGTGCCATTGAAGAGCATCTGTGTGACCTTGTCCATTCGTGAGTTTGTGGCTGGTGTGGCTGCTACCTTAAACTATGAAAATGAAGAGAAATTTCCTCTGGAGACCTTCTTTGTGTTCCCCATGGATGAAGATTCAGCTGTCTACAGCTTTGAGGCCATGGTGGATGGGAAGACAATTAAAGCAGAATTAAAGGATAAGAAGAAGGTACTGGGGATGAGTAGATTATCTCCTCCCTTCTTATTTCCTTAATGCGTACTCTTAGGATCTCTAGCATATGCAACTTCACAAAAAATGCTGATGTTGAATGCTCTTTCTGCTATTCCCCTCTAGCTGCTATTTTCCTAAAATCATCTGGGGGGAATAGTCCATCAGGCATTCACAGTAGAGCTGTGACCTTGGCAAGACCAATCACAGGGCTTCTCCATCAGTCTCTGTTTTCCGTACCGCTCGTCTCTTCATTTAGCCATGCCACCTTTGGTATCACCTTCCTTTCCCTGTTATCCGTAGGCCCACATCATCTATGAGAGTGCCATCAGCCACCGCCACCAAGCTTTCCTCCTGGAAGAGGACAAGTGCTCCAGGGACGTCTTCTGTTGCAATGTGGGGAACTTGCAACCTGGGTCAAAGGTGGCACTCACCCTGAAGTACGTGCAGGAGCTGCCCCTGGAAGCGGATGGGGCCCTGCGCTATGTGCTCCCAGCTGTCTTGAATCCTCGATACCGTTGCTCTGGTGAGTATCCTTTCCTTTTGAATACTGGTGGTGGGTTATATAATTCGGGAAACCCCCTCAAGTGTCGTAGGGGTGCTAAGAAATATGAGAAGGGAAAACAGAACTAAGGTAACTTCTTGTAGGATCGCCTGAGGACAGTTGCCTTGATTTGAAGACTCCCATAGTCCCTTTGGATGACTTGCCCTATGCGTTCAGCATGACTGCCACTGTCAGTTCCCAGCATGGCATTGAGACGATCCAGTCCAACTGCCCCTTGAGTCCTATTGAGTACCTTGGAGATAAGAAGACTTCTGCCCAGGTAATTCATAAGAAAGTAATGTTGCCAGCACCCCTGTTCTTTGGGTTCTGGCCTTGTTCCTCACTCAGTCTTTCCAAAATGTTCCTTACTTTTCCCTACTAAGTAGAGGGAATCCTACTTTGTTCCTTCTTTATCCAGAGCCTTCTCTCCATTCTTGCCCGTGCCGCTGATCATGCTCACTCAAGGAAGAAGCCTGTAGCCCGCAGCTCTGACCTCAGCCCCAGGCAGCAAGCAGTGATAGTTCTAACATGGCTCTTTTGCTTGTTCCCAAACTCAGATTTCCTTGGCTGATGGACACAAATTTGATCGAGATGTGGAACTCCTGATTTACTACAGGGAGGTGCATACCCCCAGTGTAGCTGTGGAGTTGGGGAATCCTAAAAACAACCCAGGTATTTTCTTTCTCCCTTCGTAGTTACCTCCTAAAGGGTAACTCTTGTCTTGGAATTTCCCTCAAATTACCCTCACTTTACTTTTCTTCTGTCCAGTAGTAGGTAAAACATTCAAAGAGCTTACATTACCGTTAGATACAATGAGTATCATGTGGTTGTGTCTTAGAGGCAAATTTAAGTGAATCAGTAGATAACGAGATCAAGGACATGGACAAATAATTCACAAGAGGAAACACAACTAGTTTACAAACATAGATGGCAATGATCAGTCTCTACAAGTGCAAATAAAAATAAAATAAAATAAAATAAAATAAAAATAACTGGAAATGTGTACCTCCGAATCCCTTTTATCTATTTCTAGTGTATTTTATTTCTTTTATATATCCCCTTATCTATTATCTATGGTACTAAGAGGTACAAACTTTCAGTTTCCAAACAAGTAAGTCACAGTGATGAAAAGTAGAGCACAGGAAATATAGTCAATAAGATTGTAATAACGTTTGGTGGCAGATGGCAAATAGACTTATTGTAGTGAGCACTGAGTAATGTATAGAATTGTTGAATCATTATGTCGGGTACCTGAAACTAATATAACATGGCGTGTTAATTATACTTCAATGAAAAAGTAAATATTCATTTGTGGGGAAAAAATAAAATGAAAATAATGATGTGACATTTTCACTTTTCAAATTATCAAAGATTTCCAAATCCGATAATGCCTGATCATTCATCTCCATAGATTTTTCATCTCACCCTAGGATCTTAATTTCTAAGTATGTTAAAAACTGGATATAGTCTCTTAATAGTTTTTTAATTTCTTTAATTTCCCTTATTTTCTGAATTTTCCTTACCATGTGTGTACTGTTCCTTATAACTATAACTGGTATAACCCATAGGAGTCTATTGCTGTCTTGGGCCTTCCTGGGCAGCCATGTCCCTGGATTGCAGGGACCAAAGTCTAACTGGAGGTACTGCCACCTCTGAAGCTTTTTTCACATTGGTGGAATGGAAGGATGTTTGGGGACAGTCATAGTCACAATGCTGTAGCTTGGGTTAGGTTCTTACTTCTCTATAACTACACTGCTATGAAGACAGTTTCCTGTAGTTGGTCCTCCAGAGGCCATCCTTCTCTCCCATTGTTAATGTTTGGCCAAGGTCGATTTAGAGCTCCTTAGTTTGCCCTCACTTGTTCAGCCATTTTTTCTCTGGGCCAGTTGTCCATGCTAAAGCCGGTAGAGGGGCTCCCAGCCTCAACCAGATTTGCTCCAGCTCTTCTTCCACTAAGCTCCATGCCCTGTCTTTGTACATTAGTTTTGTCCTTTTGTACTGTTTTTGTCCTTTCTCTTTGGTGGCTCCCCCTTGGGTGCCCATGAAATACGCCCACAGCAGCGACCTGGTCTTCAGTCAGGATTATTCTAATCCACCAGAGAAAGTTTTATAGTGCTGAATCTTAAAAGGTATGGATTAGGATCTCAGTTCCTTTCCTTCCAAGAAGTTCCCTTGGCCCCTAGGCAGAATTCCTCATCTGTTCTCTATGATGGGCTCTGCGGGCCAGAGCGGGATATCAGGGGAAGCCTTTATGATCTTGTGAATCCCCTTCTAGCAGGGCCGCTCAAATCTCACTTTCTAGATCATATATCTGGTCAAGATGACTTTCTGTTCCCATTCATCAAGGAAGAAAATGACAAGTGGCAGCTTGGCTCACTAAACCCACTGACAGTTCTACAAAATGAAGCATACTACCACATGATGAAAGTACTTTACATACTTATGTACATATGTATACACATATTTTAAAGTGTATTTATTTTGAGAAAGAGAGACGCATGATCTGGGGACAGGCAGAGAGAGAGGGAGAGAGAGAACCCCCAGCTGCACTGTCAGTGCTAAGTCCAGTGTGGGGCTCGAACCCAGGAACTGTGAGTTTATGACCTGAACGGAAATCACGAGTCGGACGCTCAACCGACTGAGCCACCCAGGCGCCCCCCAATATATATATATATATATATATATATATATATATTTTTTTTTTTTTTTTAACTTAGAATATACTTGACCATATTAAGAACATGATTTTTAAAAAGTTATATGTATAATTTAATAAAAATAGCATAAAAAGTTGGTAAATAATTTTCCAAAATTGTTATTAAGAGCTTAACCTGGGGCGCCTGGGTGGCGCAGTCGGTTAAGCGTCCAACTTCAGCCAGGTCACGATCTCGCGGTCCGTGAGTTCGAGCCCCGCGTCGGGCTCTGGGCTGATGGCTCAGAGCCTGGAGCCTGTTTCCGATTCTGTGTCTCCCTCTCTCTCTTCCCCTCCCCAGCTTGCTCTCTGTCTCTCTCTCTCTCTCTCTCCGAAAATAAACATTAAAAAAAAAAAATTAAAACGCAACTTGTCCTCAGCTTTACCAGACCCAATGTCCCTTGTAATAAGGATTCTGTAAAGCTCCTTTAATATCCTAGAATGAAATTTATAGAAGACATAAATAAGCATCAACAAGATGCTCTGATTTTAAAAGAATGAGAAGTAATTTAAAATAGGGGCGCCTGGGTGGCGCAGTCGGTTAAGCGTCCGACTTCAGCCAGGTCATGATCTCGCGGTCCGTGAGTTCGAGCCCCGCGTCGGGCTCTGGGCTGATGGCTCAGAGCCTGGAGCCTGTTTCCGATTCTGTGTCTCCCTCTCTCTCTGCCCCTCCCCCGTTCATGCTCTGTCTCTCTCTGTCCCAAAAATAATAAATAAACGTTAAAAAAAAAAAAAAGAGCTTAACCTGAGTTAAGGCCTCAATTCAGTTCCTTAAACATGTATCACTGAACCCTTAACATAATCTTGAGTCAGGTATTACTACTTGGATTGTTCAGATGAAGAAACTGAGGCCAGCAAGCAGAAGAGCTAGGGCTTGAAATGTCTTATTTAAAAATGAGGAAGCAGAGACTCATAAAGGTGAAAATAATTTGAGCCAAGCCAAAGGAATTATAGTAGAAATACCTAGATAGTGCATACTGTATATCTGGCATTGTTCTAAACACATTAAACATACGCACCCGTTTCATTGTCACGGCAGATTGTCTGATTTACCAGTCCAGTGCCAATCCCACTACAATAAGCTGCCTCTTTAAATAGAATGGAATTTACCTTGCCCAAAAAAAAAAAAAAAAAAAAAAAAAAAAAAAAAGCTACCCTTCCATTCTGTATGCAGCGATTTGGATTTTTTAGAAGTTATTCTTGAACTAGCATTCAAGCAAATATTTGATGAGCTGCGCCCATTTCATTTGGAAGCCAGTTTGGTCATTGGGGTATCCCAAGGGTGAGATTAAAACGAGCCACATCCTGTAGTCGTACTGAATCCCAAGGCTACTGAGTATTGAAACCTATAAATCCTGGAATCACTTTATAACAGTAAGATATGGGAATTTAATTCTTTGTCCTCTTATATTCTCTGAACTGTAAAACTGGAGTGGATCTAATCACCCAGCCATTCTCACTTCATCTCTGTCTCAATACTAACATTTCAATTCTTGCATCAGTTTTCACTTGTTCCTCAAAATAAAACCAAAGCTTTGACAGCCTGGTAAGATGGGTCAGGCTCCCATGGTTTCCTTCACAGTGTTGCTTGGATGATGCTGTTAGAGTCTAACACACATCCCACTTCCGGAGAGTATCATTAAATGTTTCATCCCCAAAGCAGAGGACTTTCCTTGGTGTGTATGACACTTATACTTCCAGCTCTTGCAAACTGCCAACTTAGGAGTTGCCCATGAGCCTTCATTATTTCAAAAGTATAATTAAAGACCTAAACAAGGACCCACATAATAAATTTCCTATTGATTTAATCTGAAGAGAAGGTGTCCCTGCCAATAAATTAGCTCGATTCTTCTGGCAGATTCCAGAACATTTTAACTTCAGGCATTTCACTCAATTACCTCCCTGCTAGGAAACTAGCATCCAATTATATATTTTAATTATTGGTTGTACCTGTGACCTCTACCTTCTTTTTTTCTTCCATATCTTTTCTGCTTCTCTATCTTTTATATGTTTATAACTCACCCCAAACCCTCTGCCAGGATATACAGTATGAAGAGCAAATAGCATTTTAGATTTGGACTTTCTCAGCTCCCTATGTAACTGACTACACCGATTCTTGGGGTCTTCGGTATTCTTGGGTTCCTTTTCATGTTCTGGTGTCCTTATCTTTTCAAATTAGATGGTTTGATGAAAGATCCATCTGCGATGGTGTGTTTCTACCCAAATATCCCAGAAGTTGAGCCATCAGCTATCTGTGGAGAATTCGTCTTCCTCATGGACTGCTCAGGGAGTATGCAGTGCCCCATAAGTAAACAGGATAAATCACAGTTGCGCATAGAGGCAGCCAAGGTAAAGCTAGTTACTTTCTTTTTCTGGTCACGTGCACAAAGGAGGATGAATCGCAAGAGTTAAATTGGGGTCCATCTGGAACTTTCCCCTTCTGAGCTACGTCTAACATGACCACTCTGAGAATAGCCTTGGGATATAAGGGCCTGGAGTCATGAAATGTGGGAAGGCCCACCCCTGTAAGAATTACACTGGGAGGGTCTGTGTGTCTGGGAGGAGCCTGTCTCACTGTCTCCTTGTACTCTCTTCCTTCAGGAAACACTGATTTTGCTGCTGAAGAGTTTGCCTGTAAACTGTCATTTCAATATCTATGCATTTGGATCTTCCTTCGAGGCATTCTTTCCGTAAGTTTCTAGAAAGCCTACAGAGAGTCCAAAAGGAAACTTCAAAGACAGAAGTAGATTGTTAGAGGGGTTCCTTGCACAGTTGACTTTGGCATTGGGTGTTTCAGGTGAGGTTGTTTATAGTGGGGGTATCTCAGTTCAGGGACTTGATACTGGGTAGTGTTGAGCAGCTATCGTATCATTGGGCGTGTTTGTTTTTCTCAGGAATAGTGTGAAATACACTCAGGATACCATGGAAGAGGCACTGAGGAGAGTTAAACTTATGCGGGCGGACCTAGGGGGCACGGAAATCTTGACACCACTCCAGGTCATTTACAGAGAACCTTCCATCCCGGGCCACCCCCTACAGGTAGGAACAACTGGAACAGAGCCAGCAGAAGGCAACAGAGAGAATGAAATCTCTGTTCAAGAATCCATCCCCCTGAGCTTGGTTGTAGGTTTATTAAAATAGGACATAAATTTCAGAGTCTTCTATCATACAGTGAAGAGAATAAGACAAGACAAGAAGCGTTTAATAGAATTCCTTTCCTTAGCTCCATGCTGTGGGCGGTGGGTGGTGGAAGTTATTTTGTGGAGTCCCACAAAAGTTTTAGATGAGACGAGAAGGGGGAGGTGATGAAAATCCCAGGTCCCGAACAAGCCGTGTGAGAATATGGTGCAAGTGACCATGGAACGTTAGGGACCTCACACCCGTCTGAAGGGGCTGTAGTCTCTGGAATGAAACAGTTGATTTTTCCCAAGGGCAAATTCTGGCGTCTTAAAAAATGATCTTCACAGAGATGTGACGAATGTCTTCTTTCTATCTACAGCTTTTTGTCTTCACAGATGGAGAAGTTACTGACACGTTCAGTATAATTAAAGAAGTTCGGAACCACAGACTGAGGCACAGGTAGGAAGAGAATGTGAGTTCTGGGTGACTGACCCGGGTAGTGGCACATGTAGTTTACTGCCAATTGCTACCAGGGTTGACATTCCTTTCAGAGGAGAGAGTGATTCAAGAATTTTAGTTTTACTAGCTAACAAGCTTTTTCTATATCATTTTCCCCTCTCTAGTAAAAGATAAAAGTCATTTTCTAAATAATGTCTATTATGGAAACAAAAATTGAATAGTAAGACAGTTTAAAAAAATTTTTTTAATGTTTTATTTATATTTGAGAGAGAAAGAGACGGAGAGTGAGTGGGGAAGGGGCAGAGAGACGGAGACAGAATCTGAAGCAGGCTCCAGGCTCCAAGCTGTGAGCTGTCAGCACAGAGCCCGATGTAGGGCTCGAACTCACGAGCAGTGAGATCATGACCTGAGCTGAAGTTGGACACTTAAACAACTGAGCCACCCAGGTGCCCCAAGACAGTTTTTTTTAAACTATAACCATTTTTATCAAAGTAAAACATACACAAAACTACACAAATCACAAGCATACAGCTGGGTGAATCACAGAGTTGATCACTACCAACTTTTATCTCTCCAAAGGAAATAGCTTTCCTGACCTGTAACACCATGGATTATTTTTGCTTGTTTTCAAATAAAAATAAGTGGGTTATACAATACGTTTTTGTTTCTGTGTATTTTACTTCTAGCCCTCAGTAGTATGTTGATATTCGTACCTATTTTGCATGGAGCCGTGGTTAATTTTCATTGGTGTGTAGTATTCCATAGAATAATAGTTATATGTGTATGTATATATATATATATATATATATATAAAGAGAGAGAGAGAGAGAGAGAGAGAGAGTTAGATCTATAGTTCACATGGATTTTGTGTGTGTGGGTTGTGTGAAGTAGGGGCCAATTTTCATTATCTTCTCATGTTGATTTCATATTGACCCTGTACCATTTATTGAAAAGTTCTCACTGATGTACAGTGTCATTTTTGTCACAGATAAACATCTACACATGTAGTAATTGTTCTTGGGTCCTTTGTTCCATCCCATTAGTCTATTTATCTAGACATGTGCCAGTACTATACCAGATAAATTTACGTAGCTCTCTGATAAATATTGATTTCCAATAGAGTAAGTCTTCAACTTTGTTTTTTTTTTTAAAGATTGTCTCAGCTGTTCATGACTCCTTGTATTTGTATTTTAGAATTCGTTTGTCAGTTTTTACCAAAAAAAGGAGACTGTTGAGATACTGATTAGAATTATATTGACTTTAGGGGTGCCTGGCTGGCTCAGTCAGTAGAGCATGTGACTCTTGATCTCGGGGTTATGAGTTCAAGCCCCATCTTGGGCATAGAGATTACTTAAAAAAAGGAGAGAGAATTGCATTGATTTTATAGATCAGTTTTGGGACAAGTTAGTGTTTGTTATATTGAGTAGTCTAATCTATTTAGATGGTGTGTCCATCCATTTATTTAGGTCTTTCTTGATTCTTCTGAATGTGTGTTTCCAATATTTTATTTAAAAATTGAAACCTGTAGAGAAGTTGGAAGAATAGAACAATAGACACTCATATACCCTTCTACCAGAGGTCCGTGTTTTAGCACATTTGCCTCACCTATTTTTTGTCTGAAATATTTGAGAGCAAACCACAGATACTGTAATTCTTCATATGCAAATAATAACACACCTTATCTTCTAAGAACAGGGACATCCTGATGAATAACCACAATGAAACTATTAAACTCAGGATATCTAATGTTGAGATGATACTATCTAAATACAGGCCATATTTGCCAAGCTTTCTAATACTGTCCTTTACAGATTTTTCTTTGTTTGTCTTTGCTTTTGTTCCCAGAGGAAATCTAAGACCAAACATTTTATTTCATTGTTATGTTTCCTTAATCTTCTTTACTCCGGGAGAGATCCTCAGCCTTTCATTATTTTTCATGACACGGATATTTTTAAAGAGGACTATCTAGTTATTTTTGTAGAGACTCAATTTATGTTTGTGTTTGATTACTTAAATTCACGCTTAGGTTAATATTAAATATTTTGGGAAGAAATATTCCAAAAGTAACATTGATTCTGCTGATAGGTTTGACCACTTCGTTAAAAGGTGGTATCTGATGGAAAACTTGGAAATTTTGTAAACATCTTGTTCTCAGCAGATGTTTACTCTGTAGATCCAGCATTCATTGATGATTATTACCCAAATGTTATTACTGTCAGTGGTTGCAAATGGTGATTTTTAAGTTCTGTTAACTTTTCCAGATTAGTTGGCATCTTACTGTAAATAAGAGTTTCTTGGGGCGCCTGGGTGGCGCAGTCAGTTAAGCATCCGACTTCGGCTCGGGTCATGATCTCACGGTTCTGTGCTGACAGCACAGAAAATAAAAATAAATAAACATTAAAAAAAAAAAAAAAAAGATTTTCCTTCCCCCTCCCTCCCTCCCTTCCTTTTGTTGTGCGAATATAGACTTTGGGATTCTTCCAAAATTTTGGATTGTTTTTCAATTTTTTAAGGTTCATTATTTTCAGTTTTCATTTAGATTTTCAAAAATTCCAGTTTTGGCCAGTGGGAGCTGCGTTTCACTTGTTCCTATGTCTTTTTCATGTGTCTCTGTGGTGTTTGAATATTTCCTTTCTTTCTTATAAAAGAGTACAGACTCATCTATACTTTTCCATCCCTATCGCCAGTTATTTCTACAAGAAGCCTAGTTTCTTTCAGTGAAAATGACAAATAGAGGTCAATATTTGAGTATTAGGCATAACTCTGTTATGGGGCTGTTCTTGATTGTAGCCATTTTTGGCAGACTGAACTAGCAACTATTAAAAGAATTTGTTTTAACTGATACCCCTACGTCCAAGGTAATAACATAACATTCTTTCTCTTTTTTCTTCTATTCCATATTTGTGCCTTTTTTCCTCTATGGTGACAAACCTGGTTTCCCATAAAATTAGTAAATGTGCTCATTTCCTTAATCCAACAATACATACAAAATCTCTCTGTAATGTTTTGTAATTCTCTGTGTAGAGGTATTCATGCGTTTGTTATTAGATTTTTCCCTAAATGTTTGATACTCTTTTGATTTTTAAATGTTTATTTATTTATTTTGAGGGGAGGGCAGGGGCAGAGAGAGAGAAGGGGAGAGAGAATCCCAAGCAGGCCCCACACGGCCAGCAAAGATCCAGACATGGGCTTCGATCCCACAAACTGTGAGATCATGACCTAAGCTGAAATCCAGAGTTGAACACTTAACTGACTGAACCACCCAGGTACCCTAGATACTATTTTAAATAGTATTTTTAAAATCATTTTATTTACTGGGCATTTATTTCTAAATAGAAATTGATTATAATAGCTTTTATTCAGTGACTTTGCCTTATTTAAATATGAATTCTAATAGTATATTTGCAGATTCTTATAGATTTTATTTTTCTTCCCTTCCCTTTTGCCATGGAAAAGAACTTTAGTATAAACCTGAATAGATGTGGTCATAGCTGGCATTCTTTCCTTGTTTTGGACTTCAGAGGGAACATGTTCAACACTGCATCAATAAGTATGATTGTTGGCTATAGGTTTTTTTGTACATACCATCAGATTAAGGAAATTTTATTTATTTTGAGAGTTATTTTTTCTTTCTTTTTTTTCTAACAAAAACCATGAATGATTGTTGAATTACATCAAATGCATTTTATGTATCTGTTGAGATGAGTGTTTGATTTTATCCTTTTTTTCTTTTCATGTGTGACTTATAATAACTAGTATTAGACCAACCTTGCCTTTCTGAAATAAACCCAAATTAGTTGTGATCTATTAAGTTTTTTTTATGTATTTTTGGATTCAGTTGTCTGGTAACTTCAGGATTTTTTTTCAACTTTAGGATTTTTACATATATTTTCATGAGAAACGTCAACATATATTTTCTTATACTATTCTTGTCAGGTTTTGATGTCATTGTTATTCTAGCATCAGAAAATGAGCTAAAATTGTCTATTTTTCTATTATCTGAAAGATTTTCTTTTTTAAATGTTTTTAAAAAACAATCTTTTAAGTTTATTTATTTGCTTTGGCAGAGAGAGAGGGAGAGAGAAGGAGAATCCCAAGCAGACGCCATACTGTCAGTGCAAAGCCCAATGCGGGGCTCAAACCCATGAACCATGAGATCATGACTGACTTAAAATCAAGAGTCAGATGCTTAACCGACTGTACCACCCAGGCACCCCTCTTTATTAAATGTTTACTAGAAGTTGTCAGGAGGCCTTTTTTGTGGGAAATTTTTTAAATATCTTTTTTTTGAAATGCTCTATTCCTACTTTTATACATTTTTGCTTTTTATGGGAACTTGTATATTTTATCTGAATTTTAAATGTCTTTGGATAAAATTCTCTTATGCTATATTGCCTTATGCTGTTGTTAAATTTTGTAGAATCTGTGATATATTACCTTTTCATTCCTGATGTTGGGTATTTGTGTCTTCTTTGTTTTTTTTCCTTGCCCTAAATGTTTGTCAATTTTAATAATCCTTTCAGAGCACTTTTGAGGTGTTTTGTTTTAACCCTCTCTATTGTATGGTAGTTTTTTCTATCAATAATGTCACTCTTTCATTTCCCTTTAAATTCTTTGGGTTTATTGGCCGTTCTTTTTCTAACATCTGGGGATGGATGCTCAGGCAGTTGAGTTTTAGATTTTTCTTTTCTAATGTATGCATTTAGGTGTATACATTTAAACATATATATCTGAATCCTAATTGGGATCTGTCATTTTCCATTGGCATCCACGTAAGAGTAGTATCATTGCAACTTTTTAAAGCCTAAATTATTCAGAAGTATCGTGCAATTCCCCAATATTTGGGGATTTTCTATTCTTTTGTTAGGTGTCAGATATTCTATATGAAGAGTTCTAGAACTCCTCTGAGCCTCTAGATGATGTTCTCTTCCCTCTGCAAGGATTGACTCTTTCCTTCTGACAGGTTGGGAGACTAGAAGCAGAGCATCCTAGTCCAATTAGAGCCAAATGAGCTTCAGACATTTGACGGCTGGTTCCTTTCGGATTCATCTCTACCTCTGGGGAGTAGTTCTGCAGGGTTGTGTTAAAAAAAAGCCCTGAGGTGTCTGTAAGGGCAACTTCTCTTTGGAAAGTCCAAGTCTGAAACCGCTTAGTTTTTCAGTCTTTCGAGCCATCTGTTTTGTACTTGGCACTATCTTCAAGGGTAACAGGTAACCGGATACCAGTCCCATCTCTCTTGGCCTCTCTCCTCTCCCAGGTCATGGCCCATACATTCCTATTGTCTTTGAAGCCATTTGATGTTTTCAAAAAGATGGTTAAGAATATTGTATACAGCTTTTCCAGTTCTCTACTGGCTGAAACAACTTTAGCTTTGCTGCGAGTAGTACTGCCCTATGGTGTTCTCCTTTAGGTCCATATCGTATATTTAAGTTCCATTTCACCTGCTTGCTAGCTGTTTGGATAAATCAGCTAAGCTCCCTATCTCAGTTTCCTCATTTGAAAATAAAGACAATAGCAGTATTTTTCTTATGGGTTTGCTGTGAGGGTTAAAAGGGTATACCTAAGTAAAGAATTAGGAACTGTGCTTCACATACAACATGTGCTAGATAAATTGTCGCCATTATTGTAATTACTATCATTATTGTCACCCATAGGAAGCACTTAAGTAAGTCCTAGGCATGTTGTTAGCCATCCATAACTATTGTTTAGATTTAGTTTTACACATACAACACTTAAACATGCACATAAAAGCCCTTCATAAGCCATAAGGAATGTAGGCTACTGTTGCAATGCCACACTGGAAATTTAAAGATGATAATATCAAGATGCTGGCAGGCTGTGGTCTCTAGGGGCATTGTCACAGGTCGGTCACTCTAATTAGAAGTCTGGTTCTTAGCCCTACAAGTTCAGAATGTTATGATGTCACTAGAGTTGGGGATGATGACTCACACTAACCCAATTCAAAAGAGACTGATGCATAAGCCAAAATTTCAGTGCATTAATTTACAATGAGACGTCTCCTTGTCATGCCTTCTAAAAATGCTTATATTAGTGTTGCCACTAATAGGCAGTTTAGTTGGGAAGCCAAATTGTAATTAAAAAGCTATTTAGTGCACATGGATTATGGCAGGGAGAGAACTCTCCAGCTAGAAGAGCAGGAGGTACCCTTTCCCACCCTAGGACTGGTCTTGCCAGGGCAGATATGGCTCTAGTACAATGTTAGCAAGGCGCTGATGATAGTGTCTATTTGATCTTACCTCTCCCACTTTCCCCTACCGTTCTTTGGATTTATTATTAAGATAATTGATGAGGATATGGTCCGAAGATTTTTTTTTTTCTCCTTCTAGGATCAGCGTAATATATATTGTTTTGCCAGGGGGATCTTACGGTCACATAGACCAGTGCTCAAATGTCATCTCTACCATTTGGTAGGTGTGTGATCTTGGGCATATTTCTTCAATTTGTTGGCCCTCAGTTTCTTATCTGCAAAATGAAGCATAAGTCTGCCTCTTAGGAGTCTTGTGATGATTAAATTGCATCATTAGGGGCTCCTGGGTGGCTCAGTCGGTTGAGCGGTCGACTTCGGCTCAGGTCATGATCTCGCAGTTCGTGGGTTCGAGCCCTGCGTCGGGCTCTGGGCTGACAGCTCAGAGCCTGGAGCCTGCTTCAGATTCTGTGTCTCCCTCTCTCTCTGACCCTCCCCCATTCATGCTCTGTCTCTCTCTGTCTCAAAAATAAATAAATGTTAAAAAAAAAAAATAAAAAAAATAAATTGCATCATTAAGGCATTTGGCCTCCTGATTTGGGTCAAGGAACTAGACTAGCTATTTATCTCTTTATGTATTTTTGACTATTATGTGTTAATTTATAATTTCCCTCTGTAGTGTCTGTCTCTAACCTCTCATCCTTGTACAATTGCAGATGTTTCTCCTTTGGGATTGGAGAAGGAGCCTCCACCAGCCTCATAAAAGGCATTGCCCGGGTAGGAGGTGGCACTTCAGAATTTATCACAGGCAAGGACAGGATGCAGGCCAAGGTGAGGACAGGCCTTGTGTTCAGAGGGCCTTGTAATCCAGAGGGAGTGTGGAGCGGGGTCGGGGGGAGACACTGCCGCAAGGGCAGAGGCAACATCTTGACGCCAGAATTCATTTTCTTATATCCATAACGCCTTGGGCTATAATACATAGTGGGGCTCCTTTTGACCTGATGTAAATGGGGCCTACTGCAGTTTCTGGAGAAATGGCATCTGGTCCTAGTAGTTGGAAGCCCAGAGACAAGATGCCAGAGGAGTTCAGGGCTTTGTGTTTAAGACCAGAAAGAAACCAAGGATTGTGACCGTCATGATCCGGATTCTAGATGCTTGCTCAAGGAACACTTTGATGCTCTATCCTATCCTCCATGCAAATGAGACGAAGAGAACAAGAAGGACGAAATATAGTATGTCTGGTAGATTGGCAGAGGCAGTCAATTCATATTCCCATTTGATCAGTGCACACAAGGGAAGGCATCTTCTTCCTCTGCTTATGTTTGTAAGTTCCTCTTTCCGGGGTGCTGCCATCCTTTACTTTATCCTCCCTTACCCCTACCGCTTCCTAGGACAATATTATGGAATAGGCATAACATATACAGTGTTGCATAGCACCTGGTGCATAATAAGTATTCAGCTGACAGTAGTTATTATTGCCGTTATTATTTTTTTGCTTAGTCTGTTCTCTGTCTTCCACCAGGCACTTAGGGCCCTGAAACACGCTCTACAGCCCGCAGTAGAGGATGTTTCTGTGAACTGGGATTTGCCTCGTGGTCTGTCTGCTAAAACGCTTTCACCAGAACAGACTGTCCTCTATAAGGGTCAGAGGTTAATTGTCTATGCCCAGTTGACTGGGACCATGCCGGTGAGTTCCAATTCTTGTTTGTTCCTCTAGTCAGGGTAGTTACGGCCCCGACCTCTGCTCTGGACAATTTTCTTAAAACTGGTGGAGTCTCATCAAATGATCACACTTGTTGGGTGGAGCCCACCTACCCCCTTCTCCATGATTTCAGTTTCTGATTTCCTGAGCTACCTGGGTCCTAGTCAGAAATTTTAATGTGTTGGGTTGGGAGGGGCCCCAGTTGTGACCTTTCTCTTGGTGACCTCTCCCTTCCATCACGTCTACTCTTCTCTACTTTGCAGCCAGAAGAGGGAACAGGAGAAGTTTGCCTCAACTACACACTCCAGGGCAAGAGTTGTGAGAATAAGGTGACATTTTCCCTACAACCCAAGCTTGATGACAAGTGAGAATCCAGTTTTCCTTCACTGTTTTATTTATTTATTTATTTATTTATTTATTTATTTATTTATTTATTTTTTGGGGGGGGTCTCTGCCATCCTTGAGGGTTGACTTCTCTCTCTTAATTTTGGGCCTCAATTGTGTCCCTACAAACACTTCTCCTTTCCGACCCATTCAAGTCTTCTCTCTCCCTTTATCTGGCTTTTTTGTCCCTTTGCCAAGGCTAACTTTTGAGGGCCCTGAGGAACTGGTATGTGTGTGCTCTTCTCTAAGTCACAGGGGTTCTTTTCTTCTAGCTTCACTATTCACCGCCTTGCTGCCAAGGCCTTTCTCCAGAGCATGGACATAGGCTTCGGGGAGACTCCAGCAAAAACTAAAAAAGATGTGCTGAAAGTCAGCATTGACTGTGGAGTCATAAGCTCCCACACAGCTTTCATTGCCATCAACAAGGATGTCAACAAGCCAGTTCAGGGGCCCCTGGCTTGTAGGGACATTCCAAGGCCGGTTCTGCTGGGTGCTGCTGTGCAGATGCCACAATGCAAAAGAGTTGGTGAGTGGGTTTTACCCCATTTGAACTCATGTGACACAAGGGGCCCTAGATACGTAAACACGTCATTTGAAGTAAAAGCTTGTGAACTTGAATTTTTTTTCCTTGCCTCTCCACATCTAGGATTTCTGGATGCTGTGGTCCCTTTCTAGGGGACTAGAAAATATCCCACCGGCAAGGAGATTTTAAATAATCCGAGGGGGGAAAAAAACAAGAAAAATGAAAACAGAAAGTACACATACACATTGAGTATTCACACAGTCTAAATCTGAGGCTGATGTAGCCTATGGAGAATTAGATGGGTAATGATTATACAGGTGGCTGATGGTAGTGATTTGGTGGTGTTAGGGAATGGGTGTCTCAAGCGTCAGTCAGGTGGGCTTGAGTACAGATATTAGGGGCTTGAGGGTTAGGGTCAGGTAGAGAAATTCCCTGGGCAGGATTCTGTGGCCAGAGGGGAATGTGTGATGTTGGTTGTAGAGGCAGGCTTCCAGTTGCACCCAGATTTTTGTTTTAGTGGTACCATTTATTTAAATAGAGTAACTAAAAAAAACAGGAGCCAGTGTAGAGGATAGTATGTTGAATTGTTTTTGAGTACTTTGAACTTGAGATCCCTATGGCATATTCATATGAAGATGTCCAGTAGAAAGATAGATAGATGGTTCTGCCATTCAGAGGAAAGCTCAGGGATGAAGATACACATTTGGCAATATTTAACATGTAAGTAATAACTAAAGTCATGAGAAGAGATTATCAGAAGGCGTGTACAGAGTGAGATGAAAGGGGGATGAAATGGAAACATCCCAGTATCTAGGGATGGGTAGTAAGAGGATTCCCCACACCAGAATGAAAAGGAATGAAGTAGGATGAGAAGAAGTGAGTGCACAATCAAAACAAATGAAATATGATTTAAAAAAGTGGAATTATCAAAGTGTAAGATACTGCAGACAAGTCAAAGTAGAAACTGAAGGGGGACTATTGGGTTACTATCAGAGAAGTTCTTGCTGCTGTAATCAAGGGCGATTTCATTGGCTTCGGTCAGGAAAGAATCCATATTACAGGACGTTAAAGAGTAAAGAGAGGTAGGAAATGAATGTATAGACACTTTTGATAAACATGAAGCTGGAAAGGGAATGGAATAGAGAGTGGTGTCTACAGAAGTTGTAGAGTTGAGGTGGAATTTTGTGTGTTATTATCTCTTTAAAGTTTCAGAATGGGGGAGATTTGAGGATGCTGTAATGCCCAAGTCAGAGTGTCAGCAGGGAGGGCTGGCACTTTTGGGGCGGGGGGAATGGGGTAGCTAACTGAGACAGGTGTCTGAGGAAGTGGGAGACGATGACTTCTAGAGCAGCAGTGAAATCCAGGAAGGACAAGTATTAGGACACTCGCCCACTGTTGCCAGGAAGGAGAGGAAAGGTGGTGGAATTTGATTCCAGTTCACAAACTGAGAGGCAAGTGCTTAGAGTTTCTGTCTGATAGGTTTTCTATAGTTTTAGTGAAAGAGACAGCAAGATTAGCTACTGAGTCTGAGACAAAAAGAGGTAGAAGAGAGAGTTTGAGGAAAGGGTTTCAAGTAGCTCTGTGGACAATTAGTGCAATTCCCAGGGAAAAATAAAGCCTTTGCCCAGGAGTGTTGAGGGTCCAGTTTAGTTTTGATTCTTTGCCTTTTTTAGTGGCACCAAACTAGCAGAGAGGAGCACAGTCCATGTGATTCATTTCGGCAGGACTCAGCAGCTTTGGTGTAAGAACAAAGGCAGCAGAGTGTTGATGTACTTTCAAGGTTGGGGTATTACCGGATGGGTGTCATGAAAAGGAAATCAGGGACATGGAGTTGAAGAGAGTGGTTAGGTGTTGGACCTGGAACTGAAGCTAAATAGGAGACAGACTGAAGATAAAAGGAAGGGGACTATAGGGAAAAAGCAGAGGCGACACAGATATAGAGGTCCAGATGAAGTCAAAGACCAGGCAAAATAGAGATCTCTGAGTTAGAAGGCTCCAAAGATTGGATACTGTATTTAAAAAGTGGGATTTTTTTTTTCAATTTGCTTTTTTTTTTTTTGTACAGGTGGAACAATTCTGCTGGATAACAAGATTCTGGCTTGGGAGGGAGTGGCTGAGGTTGAAGCCATTTGATTTGAGAAAGTTAAGACGCTTTGAATGAGGCTGCTGGATAGGTTATCTACAAGGGCACTGAAATCTCAAGATGATGGCAGGCTGTGCAATGAAGTGGGAGTCTAGAAACTAGCATTCAGATGCTTTTGTGAATAATGGGAAGTGACAGAGAGGGTTGGAGGTTGACAGCAGGAAGAGTATGAGGAAGGTAATCCAGGTGAGGGTAGAGGAGTAATGAGCTGGAAGCCACCTTTGTGACTAACGAGGTTGCCAGTCCCACCTCCCCAACCTGGGTACTTAGACTATGGTACCTCAGGAGAGCGCCATGTGAGAGGGACAGAGAGAGAACAGTTCTGGGAAGAAGAAGATTAGTTTTAAGTTAAGATAAGTAGTTGGAAGAAGCCTCCTGTAATGAAATGAAAGATGCAGGAAAGATCATTGTCGGGTATCGAGTGTTCAGAGGACACAGCAGGAAGGGCTCAGGAGGTAAGGGTGTGTGCAGGAGGTGGGCTCACAGGAGAAGGAGAAAAGATGGTGGCTGAGGCAGACATGCATAGGAGGACATGTGTCCCACTTTCTCAGTGCCCTTTGCCTATATAGCAGAGAGCAGACGGTGCCTCAGTCTCAATGTCTATACTGGTGGTTTTCAGCTCATTTAAAGGCCTCGTCCTCCTACCCACCTCGTGCATCTCGGCCCACACGGACCAATGAGTACTTGAGCATGTCATGTCAGCTGAATGTTCACAAAAGTCTCTGTAAGCCCATGGTTAACGAGGGCCTGTGCTCTCCAGGTGAGCATGTTTCCAGGGACTTTTCCTCACCCATGTGTGTCTATCACATGTATAAGACTAGACACACTCAGCCCTCTGGGTCCTAGATCAGAGAAGAAATGCATGTTTCTCAAAGAGACTTCTCCTGAGATGGAAAGAGCTCATTGTCCCACCAATAGGACCAACTTGGAGACTCACCCTACAGGTGAGATGGGACTTGTTGCTCTGCTCTGATCTATGGGGACCAAAGAACTAATCTTCAACGCTTCTGCTTCCCTGGCTTTCTCTAGCCGGGAGGTAATCTGTTTGAAAAGTGGCAGGCAGAGGATGAGATTTGTCCAGTCCCTATGCTTGCTAGGGTCAGCCCACCTTCACTACTCTGCAATACAGGACCCTGAAACTACCCAGCAGAGTGTGGGTTAAGGCCTGGCTGAACGCACCCCCTTTGCCATCTCAGCTCATCCAGCTTGCCTGCAGAACTCTCCTGCCCTCCCGCTGCAGAACTCTGCTGCCACCCTGTTTGGGTCTCCGCTGCACTGGTCAGTCTTCTGCAAGTTGGATTTGAGAGTAGATCTTCCTGATGCTGGCCACTCACTTTCTTTCTGTCACCAAAGGGTGTTCCTCAGAACACCAGCTGTGTTCCAAGCAGCTGGACTTCTCACGTACAGGACAAACTGAGTCAAAGTACATTTTGCCACTAAGACGTGTCTTTTCTACTAAAATAGGCTTAAAGGCAACTTCTTTCTAGTCTCTGATTCTTGTAGCAAGAATTTGTGGTATACAGTTGTTTAATTGTTGAAACATCTTCATTGCCATTTACCCTCTACTTATTCATTCCCTGTAGGCTGCTAGTTAAAGAGAGGACTTTATGGTCTCAGGTGGAGTCAGATCCCCGTCCTCCCAACTACTGTGGGGTTTTAGGCAAATTAAATTCACTTCCCAGAGCCTTAGTTCCTTCAGCTGCACAACTACTGACCTCACAGGGTTGTCATGAGAAAATTCTTTTATTTATTTGTTTATTTATTTATTTACATCCAAGTTAGCAGATAGTGCAACAATGATTTCAAGAGTAGATTCCTTAATGCCCCTTACCCATTTAGCCCATCCCCCCTCCCACAACCCCTCTAAGCAACCCTCAGTTTGTTCTCCATATGTTCTCTGTATGTCTGTTATGTTTTGTCCCCCTTCGTTTTTATATTATTTTTGTTCCCCTTCACGTATGTTCATCTGTTTTGTATCTTAAATCTCTCACATGAGTGGAGTCGTATGATATCTGTCTTTATCTGACTAATTTCGCTTTGCATAATACCCTCCAGTTCCATCCAGGTAGTTGCAAATGGCAAGAATTCATTCTTTTTGATTGCCGAGTAATACTCCATTGTATATATACACCACATCTTCTTTATCCATTCATCCATCAATGGACATTTGGGCTCTTTCCGTACTTTGGCTATTGTCAATAGTGCTGCTATAAACATTGGGATGCATGTGCCCCTTCAAAATAACACACCTGTGTCCCTTGGATAAATACCTGGTAGTTCAATTTCTGGGTTATAGGGTAGTTCTATTTTTAATTTTTGGAGGAGCCTCCATACTGTTTTCCAGAGTGGCTGCATCAGTTTGCATTCCCACCAGCAGCGCAAAAGAGATCCTCTTTCTCCGCATCCTCGCCAACATCGATTGTTGCCTGAGTTGTCTATATTAGCCATTCTGACAGGTGTGAGGTAGTAGGTATCTCATTGTGGTTTTGGTTTGTATTTCCCTGAGGATGAGTGATGTGGAGCATTTTTTCATGTGTCGGTTGGCCATCTGGATGTCTTCTTTGGAGAAGTGTCTATTCATGTCCTTTGCCCATTTCTTCACTGGATTTTGATAAGTTCTTTATAGATTTTGGATACTAACCCTTTATCTGATATGTCGTTTGCAAATATCTAGTCCCATTCCATCGGTTGCCTTTTAGTTTTGCAGATTGTTTCCTTCACTGTGCAGAAACTTTTTATTTTGATGAGGTCCCAATAGTTCCTTTCTGCTTTGGGTTCCCTTGCCTCCAGAGACATGTTGATAAGAAGTTGCTGCAGCTGAGATCAAAGAGGTTTTTGCTTGCTTTCTGCTCTAGGATTTTGATAGATTCCTGTCTTACATTTAGGTCTTTCATCCATTTTGAGTTTATTTTTGTGTACAGTATAAGAAAGTGGTCCAGGTTCATTTTTCTGCATGTCGCTGTCCAGTTTTCCCAGCACCACTTGCTGAAGAGACTGTCTTTTTTTTTTTCAATATATGAAACTTATTGTCAGATTGGTTTCCATACAACACCTAGTGCTCATCCCAAAAGGTGCCCTCCTCAATACCGATCACCCACCCCCCCTTCCTCCCACCCCCCATCAACCCTCAGTTTGTTCTCAGTTTTTAAGAGTCTCTTATGCTTTAGCTCTCTCCCACTCTAACCTCTTTTTTTTTCCCTTCCCCTCCCCCATGGGTTTCTGTTAAGTTTCTCAGGATCCACATAAGAGTGAAAACGTATGGTATCTGGGCGCCTGGGTGGCTCAGTCGGTTAAGCAGCCGACTTGGCTCAGGTCGTGATCTCACGGTCCGTGAGTTCGAGCCCCGCATCGGGCTCTGTGCTGACAGCTCAGAGCCTGGAGTCGGTTTCAGATTCTGTGTCTCCCTCTCTCTGCACCCCCCACCCCCTCGTTCATGCTCTGTCTCTCTCTGTCTCAAAAATAAATAAACGTTAAAAAAATTAAAAAAAAAAAAAGAAAACATGGTATCTGTCTTTCTCTGTATAGCTTATTTCACTTAGCATAACACTCTCCACTTCCATCCACGTTGCTACAAAAGGCCAGATTTCATTCTTTCTCATTGCCACGTAGTACTCCATTTTGTATATAAACCACAATTTCTTTATCCATTCATCAGTTGATGGACATTTAGGTTCTTTCCATAATTTGGCTATTGTTGAGAGTGCTGCTATAAACATTGGGGTACAAGTGCCCCTATGCATCAGCACTCCTGTATCCCTTGGGTAAATTCCTAGCAGTGCTATTGCTGGGTCGTAGGGTAGGTCTATTTTTAATTTTAAAAAACAAAAATTTTTTTTAACGTTTTATTTATTTTTGAGACAGAGACAGAGCATGAACGGGGGAGGGTCAGAGAGAGGGAGACACAGAATCTGAAACAGGCTCCAGGCTCTGAGCTGTCAGCACAGAGCCTGACGCAGGGCTTGAACTCACGGACCACGAGATCATGACCTGAATCAAAGTCGGCCGCTTAACCGATGAGCCACCCAGGCGCCCCTATTTTTAATTTTTTGAGGAACCTCCACACTGTTTTCCAGAGTGGCTGCACCAATTTGCATTCCCACCAACAGTGCAAGAGGGTTCCCGTTTCTCCACATCCTCTCCAGCATCTATAGTCTCCTGATTTGTTCATTTTGGCCACTCTGACTAGCGTGAGGTGATATCTGAGTGTGGTTTTGATTTGTATTTCCCTGATGAGGAGCGACATTGAGCATCTTTTCATGTGCCTGTTGGCCATCCGGATGTGAAGAGACTGTCTTTATTCCATTGGATATCCTTTCCTGCTTTGTCAAAGATTAGTTGGCCATACATTTGTGGTTCTCTTTCTGGATTCTCTATTCTGTTCCATTGATC